TGCAGCAGGTTTTGGTCACTTCACATGACCCTGGGACACTGTGACCGTCATAAATATGAATCAGTTGCCAAGCATCTGAATGTAAATCACAAGACCCTGGAGATGCTGCAACATTCCAGCTGATCGGCGCTTCTTCTGGGCTCAGCAGAAGCACCAGGATCAGCGCCGAGCTCCAGCTGGAGCCTGGTGCTGATCCTGGTGCTTGGAAAGCGGCACTGATCCTGGCGCTTCCACTGAGCCCTGACAGCCCTGCAGCTCCAGCCATCTCTCGCTCAGGCTTGTGCGGTGCTGCCAACGGTTCAGCTCATTCCCCTCCCACGCTACCACTTTTCTAGGATGGTCACGTACCACCTAACAGGTGCCAATGTACCACAGGTGGTACCCGTACCACTGGTTGAAAAGCCCTGACCTAATAAACAATAGAACTGGGATTGCTGATTTTTTTTGCCTCTCACTTCGCTTGATAAATCAAACAATTTCAGTACCCGAGCTCTTGATCAAATAGTTCAACAATGTATTATTTGGCCCACCCCCTCTAGTTTAATATAGCTTGAACAGTTTCAACTGGAATTCCAAGGCAAATGCTGTAAAGAAGTATAAGGACACATTTTGATTATCTGTTGATTGACAGGAAGATAAAGGAAAAATGAATGTAAACACTTTGGGGAAAAAATTCAAAGCAGGGGTGGGAATCTGTGGCCTCCTCATTAGAGGCTGCTGAAGTACAATTCCTGGCAACACCCACCATGGCAGCTGAGGCAGTTGGGATTTTTAATTCAGCAACATCCTCCAGTTCAATGTTTCTCAACCTTGGCAACTTGAAGATGTGTGGACTTCAATTCTCAGAATTCTGGCTGGGGAATTCTGGAAGTTGAAATCCACGTGTCTTTAAGTTGCTGAGTTTGCAAAACATTGATCTGGAGGATCACAAGTCCCGATTCCAGATCAGAGAATGATAAATATTTCCTGCACAGCAATAAATATCAATGTGAAGTCCATAATCCAAAATGGGTATCAATATGTGGGCATACTTTGGGGGCATATATGCAGATGCTCCATCTTTAGCACATAGAGCTGCAGTCACAATGTTTAGCATTGCACACACGAACATAAAAAGCCAAATAGTCACATGCAGCCGAATGTCTCAACCATTACCACAGCTATAATGAGATACAAAGTACTAGGACATGGTAGAAGAGAGTATGATTTGCTGGAATTCTTGGAGATTTCTTTTTTATTTGGCTGAGTCTAAAGACTAAGAAACCCCAAGGGTGATTTAACTCAACAGGTTCCCTCAACTTGGCCCCCTCCAAATGGATTAAGACTGCAACTTCCAGAATTCCCAACCAGCATATTATTTGAGAAACTTCCAGAGGTCACAAGGTTGGGGAAGGCTGAGGTAAAATACAGAAATGGAGAAGCGAGCAATGAAAAAAAACTCTCTTGTAGAATAAATAGACCAGAAGCCCTTTGCATTCTCTCTTCTTCATTTCTTGACTCAGATCTCCAAGGCAAGTGAAAAGTTAATTTCTATGAGGACAGAATGAAACAGTAAAGGGAAGGGAATCTTCCAGTCATTTTAGTCTCAGTCTTGCAATGTCTTCTGTGCTCCACTTGGAGACATGTTGCTTTTATAAAGCATTTTTCTTACCTTTTGTTTTTTTGGACTGGGGACAGACCCATTTAGATTAGAACATGTTTCTATTTAGCGTCCCTCAGAGCATTTCTATAGAGAAACACAGATCTGGCAGAACGAAAGATGGCTTCCAAATTCTCATTTTCCAGCAATACAGTTCCTTTGTAAAAAGTCAGCCCTAAAAGTCCTGTACACATCAATAGTTGCTAAAGATTCGTAAAGGTTTTCTCTACTTTGATTGTGACCAGATCAGTGATCTGAGTTTCTTTTATAAAAAAAAGTAGATGTACCAGCAGAAGTGTAATTTATTCTAATATGCAAAGTTTAGTAAGGGGAGAACTTGGTTTTCTATCAGGATATTGCCAAAATTCAGCTTCTGTTCAAGGAAAGGAAAATATAAAATATCAAAACTTGTTTGCATGGATCCCTTAGAAAACATCTAATCTGAGGATCCTGAACGAATGCATTGCTATGATTGTTGGCAGAAGAAATCTGGGATTAATCTTCCAAAAAACAGTATAAACATCCAGCAGTTATTCACAAGCTGCTGGCAGAGAGAACAAGCCACTGGAATCCTTCACCTTGTTCTCCGTCATTGTTTCAAAACTAGAGAATATTAATGTCTTCGGACCTCTAAGTCCAAGAGGCTGATTGATTGGAGAAAGCAAAGCAAGAAGTACACACTCATCAAAACAAAAAAGTGTGCACCTTTTTTGAAAAAAGGCACCAAATATGAGCAACAGCATTTGTTTTAAAAAGCTCCCCAACACAGGTCTGAAAAGGAATCCTAGAACGTTTTCTTTCTTGCTTAGGAAATGGGGGTGGGGGGAACCTGCCCCTCCTCCACTTGTTCTTGTAATGAAAAGGTCCTCCTTGTGGAGGTGGCTGAGGATTAAGACATCTTCCAGAAGGTCAGCGAGGCAGTCAAGACCCCCGCAGCAAAGACAGCAATGGTTTGCCAAGTGGGGGTGCCGAAAAAGGAGAGGAGGCCTTCCTGGAAGGGACAAACAACAAAGGGAGGGAGAAAACAAAAACGTCTTACGGTAAAACAAAGACACATTACAGTAATACAGGTAATCCTCATCTTATGACCTGTGGCTTACAACGGACCCTCCAAAAGGTACTGACAACCTGGTTTTGAAGTTCTGACAGCCGCAAGTCATGTGACTGCATTTCAGGGGCTAGGCAACTGGCTCCCCTTTATGGCCATTTGAAAGTGTCCTACCGGCATGTGACTGCAATGCCGAAAATTCTCATTTACTTCCATTTTTCGGGAAAAAGGCCCCATAGCAAACAACTGGTTCACTTAATGACCGTGGCATTCACCTAATGACTGTGCAAAAAAAAGGCTGAACAATTGGATTGGCCTCTTTACGACTGCCTTGAGTTATGATTGTACGATCAGGTTCCATGACACTCATAAGTTGAGGACTACCTATACAAGCCTCAAGGTAAGAATGTCATGTTTACAGTTGTCTGGTGAAAGCCCACCTCCCTTTGCATTTCTATCTTCACAGCGATCTTGTGAAGGAGACTGGGCTGAGACAGAGCACCTAAAAAAAAAACATCCAGCAATGGTGGTCTTGATCTATCCACTCCCCCCACCCCCGCCAGGATCAACCCAACACCTGAACCACACAGGCAGCCTTGGTTTCCCAGTTATGGTTATGGGGTACCATCCCCAAGTATAGAAGAGTCTTTTCCCTGGCCCGTTTCAATGTCTTGCCCTCAGCACTACTCGATGGGCGATTTAAGAGGCTCCTGTTTAGTGAGCGACTATGCCCCTGTGATAGGGCCGAAGTTGAAACTGTGGCGCATGTCTTATCATACTGCCCTATGTATAACACAGGCAGAATTAAATTATTGTCTCTCCTTGGAATTGATCCTTCTGGTTCTAATGTTAGTAATTTGGTTTTATATTGTCTAGGGGATGGCTCCTCCTATATTACTTCTCAGGTTTCTAAATTTCTTTTAAGAGCTGTAACTACCAGAGGAGAACGTTGTAATTCCCTTTAGCCAAGGCTTCTGGTGTTTAATTGTTTGTGATATATTTTTCTTGTGTTTTCTTTTGTTGCACTTGCATTTT